TTTATTCATGATAGGAGGAAGGGGAAAAGAGAGAAAACTCCCATGGAGTTTCTGTTCAGAATCGGCCAGACATATTTTATTTGATATCGGCAAAAAACTTGAAGTCGCGCAATAGTAAAATATTTGGGTTATTCGCACGTACCTGGTTGTCAGGTTATCTGGCTTAAAATTATTATTCTCAATTGTATCTTGTTGTTGTAAATTAAGTAAAACTATAGCCACATAACCAGGTAGCCTGATAACTGGCAGGTGTGAATATCCCAAATATTTTATCAGTTTTCACCTTAGTAGATCCAGGGTTCAAAAAATGCTTTCGGTTCTCGGGCCTACGAAGATAATAAGGGTCATTACACCGAAGCTTGGTACTCGGTAACTCAATGCTTGGGATCTTCACACCGATCTTGGTCCTCGGTAATTTATTCCCATGTATTTTGTTTGTGCTCATTGAAATCACTATTGAAAGCTCTTTTGCCCCTAAATTCGGCTTTTGATAAGAGAGTCTTCCCATATTTTTGGCCTATGTCCTTATTAGAAATCTAAACATTTTGGTACCGAGTATCGAAAGTATTGAATACATTTTAAATCGGTACCGAGTATCGATCAATACTTAAAAGTATCGACTCAGCATTTCTCTAATTCTAATTGGAAAAAGGCGAATTTATACCAAGAATGATAGAATAGGGGCCAAGGCGAATTTATAAAAGGTGGTGTTGATGGCGAATTCACATTTTCGCCGCAGTACTTCCTAATGTCCAAGGCGAATTNTCTTGACTGACAACGCCGTAATGTGTTTGCTGCGGCAGTGACTGCCAATATTAATACAATTTTCTTAAAAACTATACATAACGTATATGTATGTATGTATGTACATCAAATTAAAGGGAATTAAATTTCCTATTCTTTGACCCTGCTTGCAACAGAAATATATGCCAGTTCCATTATTTCTTGAGGAAAGACGAGGCAACAGGCTGTGAAGTATCAGATGTCAAAATTCTTTGGGCACACACACGAAATAATGGCAATTTTTGCATGGCTGCCTGGCTTTTAAAATCTGATTAAAAAACGGAAATTAATCGAAAACCCGATTTTTTGAAATCGGTGCCAATTCCTAATTCGCGCACATGCCCTTCAGCTGTCAAAAACAGCTGACTTTTGTTTTTACTTTACATCGCGTACAAAATGTTGATTTTAGGAAATCTGCGGTTAATAACAAAATTAAGTCAAAATAATGCAAAAAAGTTTATTTTCGTGCCGCAGATTGTGCGTGAACTACGTAATCAGCCATGGCAGCGACCAGCAGTTAGCGCATCAAACGATATAGATGAGCAAGTCAATCCCCCTATACGACCCGCGCAGACTGAACCGCGTGACACAACAGGCATTACGGAAGTAGTAAATAAATATTTAAAAAAAGAATTGCAACAAATCGAAAATTACCAAGCCACAAATGAAACATCATCGAGTAAAAGCGCTGCACCAAGCCAACATTTGCCCGCCAGCGATGATGATTTTGTTGATGAAGCCGATTCGGTAGCCGTTGGTCAAGCTAAAAAGGATTATGTTCCCACATTCAATTTGGCTGCATATGTCAACAAATCTCCTACGCTACAGCAGTTTATCCAACTGGGCGTAGACTTGAGTAGTATAGAGAGACGTAAAGGCTTGGCTAAATTTGTACTGGGCCTGGATTTCGAAAAAAATGTGAAACCATATCTCTACTTTCTACAGGATCAAGGGGTACCAGCAGCGGCCTTTGGTGAATTTCTCACGAAAAATCCGTTAATTTTTAAAGTGGATATAAATGATTTGCAAACGCGTGTTAACTACTTAGAATCCAAAAATTTCACAGCTGAACAACGCCAACGCATATTCACCCGAAATCCTTATTGGCTGATGTTTTCAACGCAACGCATTGATCGGCGGCTTGGACACTTCCAGAAAGAATTTCGACTGAGCGGTGATGATGTGCGATTTTTAACATCGAAACAACCGCGGCTGATAACTTACAGCATGGAGCATATACGCAAATCATCGTTTTGTATACGCGAGGAAATGGGCTTCGATAAGGATGAAATTAAGTGCTTGCTCTTGAACAAGCCACGATTGTGGATGATGAGTAAATTGATGAAAAATTTGTTTTGAAAAGCGTAGAATAACGTTAGCCTCATTTTTTTTACAGAATCTGACGATCTAATTGAACGTTTTGCTTATGCACACCAAACAATGCAGCTATCGCATGACATGCTAATACAGTTTCCTGAAGTGCTGACATCGCGCGAGTTCCGCTTACGACAGCGTCATGAGTTTCTTGTTACACTAGGTCGTGCGCAATACGATCCCGAGAAGGATTTGTATGTCTCACCAAAAGATTTAGTCAGTGGTAATGATTTTCAATTTGTACGTCAAGTGGCAAAGAGCGATCTGGAAACATATGAGCTATTTTTAAAGACGCGATAGTGCATATACGGATTGAAAATTCAAAAATTATTAATACGCTCAGTCTTCAAAAATCTAGGTTTGTACATTATTGTAAACTAGTTTTAACACAAAGAACAAAAAATAAAATCAGTTGAGTTTAAATTAAAAATAAGTATTTGGCGGTTACACAAGTGCTGAATGTTAAGCCTACTCCACCAACTTGCGATTTCACGTCTGTGCTTTCACTAATGCTAGTTTTGCATAGCCTGTGAAAGCCACGTGCATTTTTTGTGCCAAGCTTTTGATGACAGAAGTACAGTCGGAGTTTTGATATGGCCTACCGTGGGGCAGCCGCTGTTGGAAAAACCTGTTTCAATTTGCTTTTAGATGCTGCGCTGGTGAGATCGAATCTGGATACTACTGGGCGTAAGCACGCACCTTTAATCGCCCAACCTCCTACACCTGCGTTCAGCTAATTAGCAACGAAATTGAAAATGATATTGTTTGCAAATTATTTTTATTTCTTTATTTTTAGTAACTTTCATTTAAAATATAATTCAATCTGTAACAGAGAACACAATAATAAAAGTTTCAAAGCTTGCAAAAATTCAAAAAAAAAAAAATTATCAAACTTCAAAAAATTCTCATACAATTTCCAAATTTTTATTTAGAATATTTAGAAAATTTTCGGGTATGCAGTTCTATAGCCCATTTGATTGTAGTCTAAGAAAGTGCTAGTCTCAAGTCGTTAAAAATTACCGTTGATTTTTTAGAATTTTTTTGTCGTGGGTGTTGCGCATTTTCTTCCATATAACACATGATCAAATTTTTTTTATATGAGAATAAAAATCCGCGTGATTAATTTTTTTGCAATTTTTGCAAGCTCTGAAACTTTTATTATTGTGGTTTCTGTTACAGATTGAATTATAAACTCCTATTGCGAGTGTCGACTGGTAGTAGATAAACGACTATTATTCGATTATCGCTGTTCCGATTTCTCGTTCAATAAGCGACTGTGAATAGTTTTTAGTCGTTCATCTTTCGTCAACTGTTTATTTGTAGAAGGATGAGCGCCTATAATTTATTCCCACTGACTTATTGAACAAGACAACGACGTTGACAATATCATGGAAAAGCGATAATCGAATAATAGTGGTTTATTTACTACCAGTCGACACTCGCAATAGGGATGATAATTTAAATGAAAATTATTAAAAATAAAAAAATAAACATAATTTGCAAACAATATTATTTTGAATTTTGTTACTAATTAGTTGAACGCAGGTGTATATAAATGAAAATTACATAAAACACCACATTCACCAACACTTGAAAGAAAAATCGAAACGGAATTTCAAAACTACCAACACCCTCATCACTCAGTAGTCATCAACAAAGATTTAATACCTCCGCAATACCCCACTATGTAAACGGTTTTAAAACGAGGATATTTTCCCCCGACTCCGCCTTGGACACACCAACACAAACACATGTATATCTCCAAGAAAAAGAAAACTGAACAAATTACCTAGCTATAAACAAATGTAATTTCTGCAACGTAGAGCTGATGGCCCGGTAGCCACTGCTGATATTCATATCAGTTCTAAATAATAGTAATAAATACACAGTGTTTATTTCGCTTCTTTAGTTTTTTTTATTTTTTTTATTGCATTTCTCATACTTTTTTCCATTTGTCGTTTCTTTAGTTTATCAAAAAAGTCTATAAGATTTTTAATAATATAATTATGCATATACATATGTATGTAAATATATACTAGATACATAGTTATATGTATGTGTTGTATATAGGGAAAGGGGTTTTTGCCATAACGACGGTATTTTCGAATTCTTACTTCTTCAATTAAATTCAATTATACATATTATTTTATTCGTTTTGATATTAAAAATATAATCGATTTTTGTTTCCGTTAAATATGTATAATATCAGGCAGGTTCTAGAATCCGAGTGAAAGTGAAATTGAAAACTAAAAAATGAATTCAAGTGTATTTGACATGATAAACGCGAAATACGAACACCAAAATTCGGCTTCAAAGTTAACTTAAGTCATTTGTAGTCGGAACCCGCCTGTATTGTTAAATGAATGTATGTATGCAAATGGTATTGAGGAAATGTTCTCGCGTCTTAATTAAACTACAAGCTAGAAAAAACAAACGCGTTCTGGTGGTATTGGTGAACTCGACAATTTCGAGTACCAAAAATACATCCGTAGTTGCATAATCATATAGTATGTATATAAATATAAAACATAGATATATTTTTTGTATTATATAAATTAACATTAAAAACATTTAAAAAGGTAAACTAGCGGAAAATTTTAGAGTAAGGAGTCGTTGAATATAGCTTAGCTACTAAACAACTTCACAAAACTATTCTTTTGTCGCAAATGTATATCAAATAATGTAGATTTTGCACTGAATAAACTGCCTTAACACAAAATATGAAATTCCGCATTCTGCATTTTCTTTTGCTTTTTGTATTTTTACTAGTAAAACACGCCAAATACTATATGCTACTGCCTTTCCTTTCTTACTCGCTTCATTTTTTTACTTTATTTTTCTGTAAAAATATTAAAATAGTTTAGATATTTTTTGTTTAATAAAAATTGTAAAAATATCAAATACAAAGCATTTTTGTAAGAACATTAAATCGCATTTTAGTTTCGAAAAATTGGGGTTATATAATAATACAAGTAATAATAATAAAAAGACCTGAGCCCACGCTTGTGTTGCACGTTTCAATCAGCAAGTTTCTCCAAGTAAATATATATGTATGGTAATCGAATTGTTTTTATTTTTGCTTTTATTTCTCTATTCTATGTATAAATTGTTGCTTTGCGTTTGTGTGATTAGTCAAATACTCTCCCCATAACTTGCAACTGCAGCATACTTTCAAATCCACTTACTGATCAGATCCCGTACGGCCAATGAAATGAACTCAATCAAATCACACAACGCTAGTTGCTTGTATATATGTATGTGTTTTTTTTAAATTTATTTATATGTAGTGTATGTATGTATATAATTATCTTACTAATTTGTTTTGTTACATTTCTTGGTGTCTCTCAATGCCGGCAACGGTTTTATATTGGCTGATTATCGAATGCTCTAGCTGCTATCGCACGCTTTCCGTATAACGCAATGCACATAAGTAATTATATTCATACAGAAATACATACATATGATTTTATGCATTTAATATGCGCATAAAAATGTCATCGCTTTATTTTAAAAAATTCTTATCTTCCTTAATTCCATGTTATTTGTTGTTGCTGTTTTATTATTTGTTAATCTTCGCTATAAATATTCTCACTGCTACTTATTTTGTGGTATGAAAATATTTTTACAACTGTTTCATCTGCGCTCGTTCTTACATATTTCTGATAGCTCCTTAACTTTCGATTTCGTTTTACTGTTTTTCTATTTCAAATATTAAAACGTTGTTTTATTTTACAACTTTCGCTCATTGTTTTGCTGCTGCTTTCCGCTTTGTTTAAAATAATAATATTAAAAATAATATATATGTATATAAATCACTTTTCTTTAACATTCCGTTCAGTCAATGACAACTCGGGTCAAGAGAATGCCACGTTTGCTGAGCCATAAGCTGTAAGTAACAAAGAAAATGTACTATAAATTTTCCATCTTCTCCGATCTATATGTATATTCACAGATTGATAACTTCAATTGCATGCATACTTACCCTAGTCCAGCGCCTAATAACAAGGACAGCACATTCGACAAAATGAGCGAGTATAGTATTTCTCTGGAAAATAGCGAATTCTTGCCAAGACGCGTCAAACGAATGGAATAACCAGCACCCTTCTTCTTTTGTGGATGTTCAAATTTCCAATCTCTGCAAGAAAAAGTAAATTAGGTTATAAAAACGTTAGGCCCGTTTTTCCATTTCCATTAGATTGTGAAAATGCATTAAGAATGAGATCAGGAGTGTAAGTTGATGTTAACTAAAACTAGAAGTGACAATACGAATGCATTTTGAATAACAATTTCTTATACTCACTTTGGTGGTTCTTGATCCGGTCGGCTATTCCATTCATCCAGCCAGTCTGTGTCTTTGTGACTATCGCCCTCCTACAATAAATATAAGAAAAACAGATACTGATAAAAACACGATTTTAGGCTTCTGAATTGCTACAAACCTTATTCCAATAATTAATGTAAACATTCTTGAGATCTTCATTGGGTGTGAGCTCGGTATTCGGACTGTTTGGTGGCGATTTGGGGCTGTAAATATTAAAAATAAATGAAGAAAAAACCCAAGTAAAACGGTTACATGCGCTTACCTATCCCTGGGTGTATCACGGCGCGAACTGGCCAGCGAGACAACACGACTGGAGTGATTTGATTCGCGTTGCGCTTCGCGCAACAAACGTAAATACTCTTCACCACTTGTGAAGGGCAATGGTGTGATTCTATCCGGACTCTTCACGCCAGCCATTGTAGCAGCGCTGCTCAGCTCAATCCAAGATTCTGAAATATACAAAAAATTATAAAAAATTAAAAACAATACAAAAATGCTGATTTTGGCAAATTAATAAAACAAAAACTAGCGAATTTCACTAGTAACACACCGTACCTTGAAAAGCAAAATGATAACAAAGTAGATATAGCGAAAATTCAAAAATCCAAAATATGTATGTATGTATATACTGACAAATGCGCTTCCTCTGGCTGTTCAAATTTCAGTACAAATGGATAGCAGCTATACTGCAATGAACTCACTAACAGACTGACTTGCCTGCTGTTTGTTGTCAGCTAACTGGCCCTCCAATGGAGTACACTTTGAGTGCAAGCTTGTCGAAAAAACTCAAGACAAGCCTCAGTTTTTATATAAAGTTATTTACAGTACGCATACAAGCAAGAAGAATTGTTTGTTTTTCTTGTTAGCTATTATTCTTTTTAATAAGCAACAAAGAGAATCAGCAGCTGACTGACAATCACGACCAACAGCCAACTGCAAGACGATGACTAACCACTACGTAAACTGGTGCGGATATAGTAAATCGTCAACAGCAACAAAGC